AGGAGTAGGCTAAAAGGTATAAAATAGAGGATAAAAACACGGTTAGTAACCACTTACCTTATCGTACGTCCGAAGCACAGCAGAAAAAGATGAAAAGTACAACGTGACCTCGCACTTAGTGCAGCACGGGATTCTGGGATTACGTCATCAATATTTAAACTCTAGGGGAGTRGAGTGCGTTAAAATGTGGTCCGAAGCACAAATGGCAGGATTCTACCTATTGTTTTCTCATATATTTCGAACGGAGTTTGTGAAATATAATCTAGAATAACAATTATGATTTTGTTATATCCATTTCTATTTAAAGTGTGTGAATAAATTGAATTGAATTGAATTGAATATTAACACTTTTCCATGTTTTTGCAGGCTTGTGGTCCACCTGCTTGAAGTACTAGATGGCTCCTTCTCCACATTCTCTACAATTGATGAATCAACAAGACATCTGGCCCTAGACTTGGCAACATTGCTGATGACTTGTTCTATTCCATCATACATTCAAAACCAGGCCAAGACACTGCTAGCTACATTACATCCATCCAAACTATCTTACCATAATCATAAGGTAAGTTCATAATAAGGCCAAGATGCTGCTTGCTACATTATATCCATCCAAACTATCTGACCATAATCATAAATGCCAAATGGGTAAAATAATTGGATAGATGACGGATTTATTGAGGCTTCTCAATAATAATAATTACATGTATTCAAAATTTTTGCATTGGTACTGCAAGAAAAGATATGGCAAAAGAACAAATAATCTATCATTTCATTGTGCAATTTAATACTATTGCTGAGAGCATACTATGTCACTGTCAAAAAAATAGATGTACAAAGTTTCAACTGAGTAATATTGTATCATATGAACATGAAACTTCATCAACATCAACCTTCATCAATTCAATATTAATATTTGTAGTCCTTTTCTTTCAGGACCAAGCTCAGCTCAATCAAATAACTCAGTACCTTAAAAACTACATCATTGCACAACAAGAAAAAAAACCAGTGAACCTGGACGTGGAGACTTTCCAGAGACTGGTGGTCAGTGGAAGATCTGTTGCAATGGCAAGACCAGCAAATGTGTATAAGTTTGCATCTCTGTCTGAAACTGATGGAATCAATCATTTTGCATCTCTATTGGTTGAGGTATTTTGGAAGATTTATGGCAGCTGTACACAAGTGTCGTCTATTGCTCCTTTGTCCTCTATTGGTAGGTTTAATAATGGCACCATCATGCTCAAATTGATATGTATCTTCAGAAGACATGAGGCAGGTTCACTTATTGTCTTTCTTTCTTTCTTTAGGGTTGCAGGACTTGGAGTCAACAGTCACGGCACTAGTGGATATCATTCACGCGTTCACCATCTCAGATAGTACTCATGCACCCATGGCTGTTGATCTTTATGTCAAAATGTTGCTATGCAAGGTGAGTCTATGAAAACCTAAATGCATCTGGTGCATTGTCACAAAGTACCACAAGCAGCAGTGTTTTCAAGTTTGCCACCAATATCACGATGATTATGTTAAAACATAAATCAGTAAATCTTGACTATCATTTCCATGAAATTATATTAGTAGTATAGGGAATGGGGGTTCTAGCGCAGTGACCACACGAGGATTTCCCGTTTAAAGTCACTAACCCGTGTTTGCGTAGCCCTCATTCCCTATGAGACCCCCAGGATTACCCGTGGGGGTAACAGCGCACTCGAAATATGTTAGTTTACGCCAGGATTACCCGT